GCATAAACTTCGCCGAAACCCTCACCCTGTTTCTTCTCCCTTCCTTCTTTCCTTTGTTGTCATCTACTTTTCCCCTCTTCAACGTTTTTTTTTCTCTCTCTCTGCCAAGTCCCCGACAACGTGTCGTGATTTTTCACGCTTCTCTGCGTAATTCGACTCGTCTTCCCCAACAAGACCCTATACTTGCCTCCTCCTTGCCTAAACGTCTTCCCTAATGGCTCAAAGGGAAAAGAACCACAGCTTTGAGTCAATTCTTTCCCAAGAAAAAGAGGAAAGCATCTTACAACGCTTCTTGAGCCGAAGACGTGCCCGGAGAAAACGTTCCCGAACGGGAATCTCTCAATTCGCACTGATGAGAAGTGGATTTCCGGCGATGAAACTTATCCTGCGTTACAATATTCATTTCCTTTGAATTGAACGTCTCGACGGGGTTTTACTGCACTTGGTTACGCCTGTCAATATTAAAGTACAGTATCAGGTTAGATGAGGTATTGGTCAGTATGTTACGAATGATGTTTTGTAAGTAAGGTTAGATCAGCTGTTGATTCGTGTTCAGGACATTGTTAGCAGATGACTCATGAGACAAGGTCATGTATATGTCTTCAACGGCGCCTAAACATTTTTTACAGAGGTTGTGGAGATTTCTTATAAAAAAAAACCTTTTTAGCCATGCTGGGGGTCGTTCAGGGTGAGATGGAATGCTATAGACAGGGAAGTTGACAGGCGAAATACTCGTAAGGTGGGGTTGTTGTGACGTCCTCGGGGCCCTTTGTGTCGTCACCAAGTGATGATTCTAACCCTGGGGACTGTCTCCAGAGAAGACGGGGGAAAAAACCCACATTTGGGGGGCGGATCAGGGGGTAGACGCGGTGATTCGATTTCCCCCCGTTTTCCCTCCCACCTTTTATTTTCCATGTGGTCCGAAGTTTGTTTTGAGACCGGAGGGTTCTGGGTTTCATTTAACCTAATGGCTACTTTCTCCGGAATAACAAGCGTATGTTTCCTCGTTGAGATTCTGTAAAATTCTCATATCCGAGGCGAGACTTGTGAATATTTGCAGAGTACAGTGTTTGCTGTTCGATAAGAAAGTTTCCTCGACTGTTGCGGCGGCCAAACACGGATTTTCTCTTATTCCGAATTCTGAATTTGCACGAATCGTGTTATTTTTTTGTGTGGGATCGCAATTTTAAAAATGAGAAGTGCAATCGTCGGCGAGACTGTGATGAATGTGCGATTATTGGCCGAGTTTGAGAGTCCGGGAAAGGACGGAAGTGACAAAAAAAAACCCTCTGGTATTTGATCAGTCAGTGCATGTTGATAACGCAGCTTAACGTGAATTTGTCATTTCTGGCTTGCGTCGGCGTTGCGGAAAGACCACCGACTTGAGACGTGTCAGCGAAATCGACGCCAGGTTTTTTTCTGAAAGTCGGCGAATGGTTGGCCTTAGTTTTTATTTCTTAAATTTCAAATTCCCCCCTCTAGTTATCTTTCGCGAATTGGAATGGGATAGGAGAGGAAGATGGAGAAAGGAGAAACTTGTGGAGTAACGGCAGCGACGTCGAACAAAAGCGTTGCGAGGGCTTGAAAGTTTGCTGGACGAGCAAATTTGCATTCGGTTGCCTTGTTGGTGAGGAGGAGGATGGGGAGGAGGAAAAGAGGAAGAAGAAGAAGAAAAAAGAAGAAGACTGCGTAAATCCGCAGAAACGGAACGCGTTGTTTCAGAGGGATTTCGGTGCGCGGCGAATTTTATAACCGGGCCCGGGGCATGACCGGCTTCGCCTCTTGTGAATCGGCCACGGTGCTTCTCGGAAGAGATCCGGATTTGGGAACATCCATCCAGTTTTCTTCCTCGTGTACAGCACAGTATTCATTCGTTTCGTCGACGACGAAGGGAAAAGAAAAGAGACAGAGGTCCATTCCTTCAACTTGTTTCGAAAGTCTCTCGCCGACTTTATTGTGCGTCCAGGCAGAAATCCGAAGTGACCGACTTTTTCTAAATTTGTTTTTATTTATTATTTTTATTTATTAATTTTTCAACAATTCGTCAATGCTCGGCTGCTGTTGAGGAGAGCAGTCTCTGCCACGCAAGAGTTGAAGGAAGGCACGTGTGGATCAATAAATGTAAAGCTTCAATTGTCAGGAAGAAAGGAAACACGTTCAACAGCCTGGGACTGGGCTGGGAGTTATTGCAGATTTCCGAAAGAAGAAATTAAAGTTATTCGAATAAATGTTCCAAACGGTTTTGACGAACACACGAAGTTGAAGACCGGCATATATTTTTTCTCTCTTGTAACCAATCTTAGCCGAGGTCTAGATCCGACTGATGATATTTTTGCGAGGAAAAGGCCTTTTTTATTCATTTGTTCCCATGGTCTTGGTGAAGTTCTGAAGGTGGGGATTTTACACTTTTTGGAAGCCTTTGATTAGCTAGAAAGTTGGAAATCAAGGACCTTGCAGCATCAGTTGAATTATGCAAATTAGGGGACGGGAAAACTCTTGAGTTTATATGGTTGACAGACTTTTTTCTTACTTGGTCAATTTCTTCCTTGTTTAGCAAGGCACGGCGTGGTTCTCGAACAACTGCTGAAGGAACAAATCGCGGCAATCTGTATTTACTTTGAAAAAACTTGACTCTAAATCGCAATACTTCAATGTAGATTTGGGCTACGTTTGCTGTCGAGGTTTGGTTGGGTTAGGAATGGTCAGTTGTGATTCATCTAGGTTCGATTTGCTCGGGTTATTAATCAAAGAGCAACTGAGATGGTTGTGCTCTTTTTACGCGAGCCGTTCCGATTTTTTTTGCTTTTGAAATTCGCTGAGAGTACTCTTTTCCGTGTTATTTTATGCTGTTCCTCGTTCTCGCTTTCCATTTCAAAAACTGTTTTCACGTGATGATCATTCTTGTTAAGTACTGTGTGACCCTTTCTTTATTGATTTGCTCCGTTGCATTCAGAAATTGAGATGAGTCGGCTCAGATCAAATCACTCGTTGTTCTTGGATATCGAGATCCATTGGGCACTTCCGATGTAAACCTTCGAAATCGACTACGGCGAAATCTTCTTCATGGAACGTAGACTGACTCACTGTTCTCATTACTTCGTAAAATGCGGAAAACAAGTTCATTTAGGGTATTGAAGGTGTTCAAATTGTAATTCGAGAATTTTCTAGGAACGTGCGAATTTGTTCCGATTTTCTGGGTGTCGCGTTTGTAGAAGAAGACAAACACGTGGCAAGATTTTTGCCACGAGTTCTTCCGGCTTGCGAATTCGACCGGCGGGATTTCTCTTTGTGATTACCAAGATGGAATCATTCGTTTTTTACTTTTTTTATTGATTTGCTTCGGAGACCGCGGGGTTATTTGCTGTTCTCACAACTCGGCTTTGACTTTTCGCGAAAATTTGCCGTGAGGGAGGAGACGTACGTAATTCGCTTGCGTTGCGCTTGAGGGTGTGCAGGACCCCGAAGGAGTCTTTTTTTTTTTCATTTAGTTTACTCGTCGCTTTTGTCGGCCGACACTTCTTTTGTTCGTCATGTCGTGGGCTTTCAATTTTCAGCACAGGTATCCCTTGCGTGCGACACACACAGAGTAATGCTTGTTGCGGACACGATGTGCGTGGAGAGCACGTACGCGGGGTAGTCCATAAGTTTTGAGACTTGGGCATCTGGGTTACCGGAGATGGTCAGTCGTGGATTTGGTTACGTTATTGGGAAATCCTTCCCTGGCTTTCAAGTTTTTGTTGTTGTTGTGACTTGTGAGTGTGTATGTGGAATTAGCTTGTAAGAGGGGCAAGAGAAGGTACAACAAAAAAGTAACCTCAAAGTTACTGCGTATCCCAGTGTCCGATATTTTGCTGAGCACGGAAGAGCGGGGTCAACGAATTCGTCAGAATTTTCGTCATTGAAGACGCTGAAATTGTCGTTATGCTTACTGAGAAGCGCTAAAGTATTTATATTTGGCAATGGGTTACGTTGCAAAGCATTTTCTGGAATTGAAAATAATTTCCTCTAAGTTTTCAATTGCCCAAAAAACTTTTGGACTATCCTCGTTTCATGTCGGGCGTGGCGCGAGCGCGTTGTGCTGCTGCTGCTGCGATTTATCGCTTTTGTCCCGTCACCCGAGGATGGCAACCACATATTTTTATTTCATTAAATTTTTTTTTATCTAGCATAATTTTGATCAGATGCGAAGGGTATCTGTGTGGAGTCTAATTTACGCGTTCGTTGTTTTCGATTCGTGAAATCAGGGTCGATGCGTAGCGTCTGCTATTGTGACGCGTGTTGAGCGCGTGGGACGAAGGTTTTTTTCCCCAGCAGGAAGTTTTTCAATTTGTAGATGTATGTAGTCGAATGAAAGAACACCTAAAGTTATGCTTCGAAATTGAGAGAAAAATCGTTCGCAAAATTTTCAAAGGAAAAGCGTCGGAAGTAAGTTGGACTGGACTGAACATTTTGGTTTCAACTGTCGCTCTCTCTGTCTTTCGTCAGTATCAGGATTAATCTCTTCATGGGCTTGCAGCTATTCGGTGCTTGGATGGCCTTCATCGCAGTATCAATTGAAATTTTAAATTATGTCCTATTTCAGTTCCTTGCCCCGATGACAGGCCCTTGTGTTTCAGTATTTCTGTCAAGTAACAGGAACTGTTCATAGGATATTTTGATGGAAGATGAAAAGGCATTTTTATTCCAACATTTTTTGGCAATCCAGAAAGATCACGTCGCATACGTACAAATACGTTTTTCGTTTCCGGGTCTAACGTGGTTAAATCTCAACTACGCGGCGATAAGAAGAAATTAAGATATAAATAAGTTTGCGTGTTATTCGAGAAATCGAAAAGAAAATAATTATAGTGGTTTAATGTCATGGCGATTCTTTCTGGGCGCATCCGCAGCAAACTTCGTGAGAAACTAAGAATGACTGAAAAACCTCGGAATGTGTGACAATCTTGATCGTATATAAGTCAGTTAATTTCTACAAATTTCAGGCGTTAAGTGATGAAAAGATGGTCGAAGGAGAAGACAAGGGAAAAGCGACGAACGGAGTGAACGATTCACCCGCAGTGACGCTAGTTGCGACTCTTCGGCCACGCCTACGCGGTCACTATGTACGATGCTTCGTTACGCTCAAGGGATACTTTTTTGTTTTGTTTTTTTGTATCTTCCGAAATTCCTCACATATCTCTTGGCCCAATTAGTTACCCAGTGTTTTGGCTCGTGCCGACTGAGTCGGACGTCGTGGACGGTGATTCCAATTTCATGCCTTGTTTATCGCCAGGGGTGCGAAAACGTCACGCCTTGATGCCGAAATTGAGTTTTTATGACTACTTATGATGACATTCTTCTTCTTCCTAATTCGCTGTTATTTTATTTCACTGTTTTGACTGAATTTTCAAAATTGTAATTGATCACGTATCTCTGAAGTGTGAGAGTGCGGAAGAAAGAAAGAAAGAGTCGAATGACTTCTAGTGAGCTGAAGGGTCTCTTTTACTGTTTGATAAATGTACTCCGTATTTACGAGTCCCAACAATTCTTCTGCATACCAGGTCGAAAACTCTTCAGTGAAGAGCTTCATTTTATCGAAGGCTCGTGCGTTTTCGTCCGCATTCGAGGCACGTTTCGGAATAATGAGACTGTGTACGTGAAAAACTCGCAGCGTGGGACGCTTTCGAAATACGTAGCATGCATAATGGGCTCGAAATTTGTGACTAGTAGTACTGGTACTTCGTCAGTATCAAAGAGTATCCATTCGTGAGACACTGGTTCGGACGGAATGGGAAAAAGAGTGTTTTTACCGGTCATGGGAACTGGCTTGGCAGGAAGTACCCGTGCGGCGTGCAAGCTTGTGAGATTCGCTCTGAATTTCTTTGTATCACGAATCGGGGGTATATTTGCGATGTAAATACCTGCGCCGTACTCAATTTGCCGTGTTGCGCATAATTTGCGCAAACGCGCCTCTGGCTTTCCACTCGAGTCTGTCCTCTTGCGTCTCATGGCTGCTTGCTTCATTAAATCTCCAGTGAATTTAATAAAGCTTAACAATCAAAGCTTGTTGCAATTTTATAAAGTAAACTGAAATCTAGTTTAAATTTAATACTGTACTCTGAAATCTCCTCACAACGTAGTCATAAGGACTATTAAAATGGCTTCGTTGTGACGAGAAATTCGTTATGAAGCAACTCATTTAAACACTGGCTCTTGGGCAGAGACCTGAAAAAACCACTGAAGAACAACTAAACGATTCTTTGTTGAAAAGAGATTCGTTTTGACGAGATTCTGCTGTACTGTGCACCAAGATCGCATTTGATTGGGTTAAATATGATTTGCGAGGAATTTGGCTCAAGTTGTGCGTTGGGTTGAGACGGTTGGGTATTCGGGCATCATGGGTTAATTTTATGAGCGAGATCGCTTAGTTATTTTTTAAATACGTTTTTAAGGTTACATGTGGCTTCTTTTAGTTCAATGTTTGGTTGGTTGATTTGATCAGATTTTCGTTCTTGAAGTTAGGGGTTTGTCAAAAAAAAAAAAAAAAACGGGAGAAGTCGTTGGAGTAGCTTCTACGTTCGGGAAGTGTAGTATAGTACATTACAGTACAGAACCCAAATGTTCCGTTATCGTAAAAGCTACGCTTGATTGAGTGACATCCACTAAAGCGGAATCTTCTTCCTGTTTTCTCCTTTTGCAGATGTCCGGCAATGTGGGTTGGAGAGTATTGCCAGCACTTGAATCCGTGCTACCTGGGGCCCGGGTTGCGGTGCCAGAACGGAGGAACGTGCCACGTGGTGTGGAACAACAAATCAGGGCCCGGGTTCAAGTGCACGTGCCCAGTGGGCTACTCGGCGTCCTTGTGCGAGGTGCCATTGTCGAACGCGTGCGACTCGAACCCGTGTCAGCACGGCGGCACTTGCAGTCTCATCACGCTCAACGACTACAGCTGCGTTTGTCCCGCCGGATACAGAGGTGAGGAAATGACAAAATTTGAAAGAAATGGATTGTTTTTTCTTCTTTTTCTTTTGCCTTACTTGTAAGGCAAAAGAACCAACCTGGACATGGGTTCTCGTCAGGAAAAAAAAAAAAAAGAAGTGCGGTGTTGGGATTGTTGGAAAAGGACGTCGTAGATGTTTATGATGAACGAAACAAGATTTGCTTGGGCTGGCTTTCAAGATGAGTTGAAAAAGCTAGAATTCTGTGGTGACATTTCAACGTTATTATGGTTGAGCCTCAACAACTCGAACATTCCTCAAGTCAGCTACCTCTCCATGTCGAATTTCTTTCTAATCCCGGTCCGGATCCCTCAGAAACAATGCATTAGAAACCTTCCTAATTCGAAGGCTTTTCCTCTCTAACCTCCTTAACTCTTAATTTTCTGGGTGGCTTTTTGGCTATTACAGTACAGTATTTTATTGACACGAGGAAGAGGAAAGCTACCAAAATTTAACTTGATGGGCTTTGAAAGGAAATTGAAAACTGATCGGGCAAATGAACCCTTGGCTTCAAGTTCAGCATCCTGTCAACTCACTGAAGAAAGTAATTCAAGGTCCAGAATCTCATAAATTACAATTTTTTTTAAATTCTCCCCCCCCCCCCCCCCTCAAACAAAAATGCTTGTTTCCTTACCTCGAATTTTTGGGCTGGTCCCTCGAGGTTCGACTTGAAGAGGTTTGAGTGTTGAAATTCAACTGCTGTATTACTGTATACCATAATATGAATATGAAGTCGGGGTGTTCAAGAAATACCCTTCTTGTACTAGTTTCAAATTAAATCATATTAAAAGAGGAAAATGTCATTTTCGATTCCTCCTATTTGCAAAGGAATTTAACTTCTTAACGTTGGAATGCATTTCCAGTGCCGTAGACTGATGAATTGAATATTCTGCCGTAAATGTGCCTGAAGGGTTCATCCGTCAAGTGTGAGTGCTATTATGCAAGAGGGATTACACCATAAGATGCTGCTCGTTTCTTCTGAATGATGCTTGAGTACATTTTAATGATGTATCTCGTGGGAAATCCTCTTTATGGACCATCGCAATTTCGACCGTGCTTACTTTCTACGTTATTGCATCTCCTCACGCACAAGGGCGAGTTGGGGTGTACTGTACTTTGTAAATTGGTCTTCTTCCTCCTTGCTTCTTGGGTTTGCTTGATATCGTCGCCTTGTGTGTAATGGAAAAGTTGGAATCGCCAGTTATACAGTACATTGCAGTAGTAAAACAATGCCTATGGCTCGTGTGTTGTCTCTTTCCAGGTGACCACTGCGACAGAGTTGATCATTGCGCCTCGCAACCGTGTCGGAATGGCGCCACGTGCATTTCTGAGCGGTCTGGCTACAAATGCGAGTGTCCACCGGGATTCGCTGGTGTCAACTGCACCACTGACGTCGACGAATGCCGACGTGATGCCCCGTGCATCCACGGCAGCTGTGTCAACAGTTTCGGCTCTTACAAGTGAGTAATCTTCATCGAAGGAAATGCACGGAATTCCTCCGTCTTCAGTATTTGTCGACAATGTCTCGTTCCTTCTTTTTTTTCCCCCTCCATGTAACGTTCGGGGATGGAACAACGTACAGTATACTGTGAATGGAAAGCGTTTTTCTGGAATGCGAGTTCAGTTACAGTAGAATATCGTTATAACGATTCATCGCGTATTTAAAAAAAAAACAACATTTTAAAGTCATTGTCCAATAGCCGCGAACGTTATTCGAGTTTTCGGTTGAAACTGGTCCCTATTGCTTCGTTAGTAGTTCGAAAAGAGGCTCGATTGGTTCGCGGAATGCATAGTTTGTATTTTAGATTTTCGCGATTGGAAAATTTCGATTGTGCGTCCCAGCATTTATTTCACAACCGAATTTTGAGTAGGATTTTTTTTTAGAATACTGTAGATTTTAAATGCTGCAGAAGACTTGAAAGTATACCGAAAAAACGAAAAACTTGCTGTACTGAAGAAAGCCAAAGTGTATATGCTCGGGCATTGACGATTGAAAACCTACGGAAGTGCTTCATTACTTGATATGGGAATGAAAGCAGTGTTGTCCAACTCAGATATGGCCGAGGGACTCATAATAATTGTATTCTCGCCAAGGGCCATATTTCGTAGGCGGAGAGCGGTTGTGGGACGCAATAGAGAATAATTTTTGAGGTTTCAAAATTTTCCCGCCTATTAAATTAAAAATTTGAGTTCAGTGCTATGCATTGAATCACAGGCATCGTCTTATAGACTTTTTGAAGGATGGAGCAGCATTTTGAATTTTTAAAACTCCTCTTTCGATGAGTACATTATTTTGAAAAATGGTGGCTGCCATGTTGAAAATTACAAGGTATGGACCGCGCTGTGAATGAAGAGTCTCTGCGGGCCGGATCCGGCCCGCGGGCCGTTTGTTGGGCAGTACTGGAATAAATGCGATTTTTATTTTTTTGGCTGCACCCGATTTTTTTTTGTGTGTGTGGAAAGAAGTGCGCGTAAATACGCGTAATCCCGCTCAATGTTTTCGGCGCGGACAAAGAATTTTTCTCAACCTGATCTGTCGCGTCCAACTACGGCTTTTAATTTCGAACGCCGTTCTTTGTTGCGTTGATTCCGTGGGGGGAAAATTGGTGAAAATTTCAGGGAACTTTTTGCATCCGAGGTGAGCCGTGTGAGCTGTTACATTTTTTTTATTTTTATTTTGACGGGATTTATCACGCGAGAGGATCATACGGTTCGCGGCCGAGTCAATTTAATCGCCGGAGGGAGATGAACGGGAAGCGCGGATCACGAGAAGACGGGGGGTCATGGAAAGAAGGGAAAAAGATGCAACGATGACGCGAAAGAGGAAGAGAACGGGGCAAAAATGCAGCTGCTGTGCGAAACGCCCGTGATCGAGTAAAATGAAGAAAAAAGTACTGTACTGCAGCACGTACGATAGTCAGATGATCACCTGAGGCCTGTCTTTTTGCCTTTTTTGTTTCATACGCCCACGATAATCCCTTCTATTGGACAATAAGATTGTTATTTTTTTTTGTTGCGTGAATTGAGCGATTTTCACGCGTTTTTGAAGTAGGTGAGAATATTGTGCACACAAGGGACACCTGGATATTCTTTATGTCTGTTTTTTTTTTGTTAGAAGAAGAAAACACGAAAAGCAGTTCAGCATGTCGTGATCAAGGTGTGTGGGAATCAGAAGAGAGAGAGAGAGTGTTTTTCTTTCAGTCCTGTCTCTTTGTCCTTCAAAATGATGATCTTCCGGGTAACGTGTACCGCGAGAAAAGGCGACGAAAAAAGGAAGATTTTTTCTTTCGAGAATGCGGAATTCCTTTGCTGCCAGAATCCGAGATTCTCCGCCGAGCTGTCTTCGAATCCCTCGCTCTTTCGAATATTATATCTACCGGTATTCGATTGGGTTGAGTTTCAATTAGGTCATCGACGATGAAGTCAATATCTGAATGATGAAAACGGCGACCTTTCTTTTTTTTCCCACCCGTGGAAAGGGCGATGTGAAACAAATGACGTGTCTGAACGTTTCTTCCGACCCACCTCAGAAGATTGATCCTCAGTCTGTGATTACCGTGTTTATGCATTGAAATGCCGAACGTTTTTTTTTTCTTTTTCAAGTAGCTACAGTATTTGAAAGGAGAAAAATTTGTGTGTTCCGCTGCTAGGTAAAATTATTTTGTCACATTTGCGGCTGAAATGTGTTTTAAAAACTAGGTGCACGTTTTTCGTGAAATGTAAGAGACCTAATCGGTATAAATGAAGGTTGCATGGAATTTTTGTCAGAAATGTGTGCAATACTGAAACAACCTCAAAAAGCATGAATAAATCATATCTGATCTTTATGTCTTTTAGGCACTTTTTTCTACCCTACTTACGCATGACGTGATAACTGTCCATCCTCCTACTGAGTACCTTACTAGTCCACAGTAGAGGCCCCGAAATTCTATGTTTCGAGATCTGCTCTAAAAATTTTGAGCATAGACGGAACCCAAGACATGGAAGTGAATCGTTTCAGGGAATGACGTGTTTGTGATATCTCGAAAATGCAGGAGACATTCGATTCTTGAAATCCAGTGACTCGCTGAGAATATGCTGTCTGCATCCCCCGGCCTCGAGTAAGGGATGAGCGATTTGATTTACATTCAAATGACGAAATCCGACGTTTCGTAATTGAATTGCGATCAGTGACCCCTTGGATTGCTCGGGTTGGTAAAGGGAATGCAGTACTGTACTGTACTGTACGGTAGAGATGAGGTGGGAAGGGTTGGCAACACTCGGCGCGAGCATCGTCTCATGTTCATGCTCGAACTGACCAGCTCGTTAAGTGTCGGCTCTTTTGAAGCCCGCGAGTCCCGGAAGCCTTTCGTGTCCTCGAGTCGGCGAAAGAAGATTGCTTGTGTGTCAGAAAGCCGAAGAAGAAGAGAACCTCGTTCTTCAAAAATTGTGCACATCCCGGGGTTTTTGCACAGACAACTTCCCACTGGGTATCATCGCCACTCTCTTGCGCTGGGTTAATGATTTATCTACGCTGTCATGTATAGAAATTACGCACACTTCTTTCCCCCACTCTTCTGATTTCACTCAAAGGTTAATCAATATCATGCGCATTCAAAGTGCCTCCGTAGGATTACGAACACAATAACTGGTAATTTGATCAGCATTGTATCCATTGAAACGAAGCTGTCTCTGTCTCTGATCGATAGGTTCTCTATCTAATCGCATTGAAAGATTTGATGGAATATCGATTATTCATTATTCTGGGTAATCCTTGAAAATTTAATTTCGAATGTGTAGAACACGGTATTGGAATATCCGCGACATGTAATTTCCCCGAAAAGGCAGCCGATCAACCGGTATAGTTTTGAGCTCTACTGTAGTTGAAAGGGTCAATCGATGAAGTAATTATACTGGCTTTTCACGTTGTGGACACATAAATGGATTACCTTAAGTGTATGATCTAGATTTACGACTTTTGCGTCGTGGAATCTTTGTTCGCTTAAAAATGGTTTTAATGAGGGCACGTTCTCCGTTTGTTTTTCTCTTTCTTGTGGTCATGGCTCTTCTATGTTCTGCTGTGGAAGATAACGAGCCACAACCTCGTCCACGAGGAGAATTCGCGATTGACGCGAAAGGCACATCAGCTAGCTGAGAACTCATTCCTTATATTGTAGAAGGGTTCGGCCCGTGTGGCAACCACGTGATGAACCGGTGCTTCAACGGTACAAGTAACAGTTCTTGCTCCCGACATTTATTTTTTCATCTCCCGTGTTCCATCTCCTTCTGACCTTCTGCGCACAATATTCATCCATCCGAAGGAACGAACCACTCCTCGACTTGACGCAGTAAAAACCTGGTTCAGTTGCCGACTCGTTGATCAGGCGCGGAAAAATCCCCGGGTCGTGACAAATTTTCATCTTCAATAATTTTAACGTGGTGTCTTTTTTTTTTCCTTTCTTTCGCAGATGCGTTTGCAACCACGGCTACACCGGACAGAACTGTGAATCCAAGTATGTTCCCTGCGACCCGTCGCCGTGTCAGAACCGCGGCAGATGCGTCGTGTTGGATGATTTCAACTTCAAGTGCGAATGTCCCGAAGGTAAGGTTTCAAGTCATTTCACATCAACTTGAGTGCCGAAAGAAAGGCAATTGAGCTTCTGATACCCACCTGACCCGTCGAGAATTCTCTTATCGACAGCAAGCGGGTTGAAATGTGCATTCGATGCTCCATCATTAGAAAAAAACCTATTTCGTTGGAGTAATGAGAAATGCGTCATGTTGAACTGAAGAAAGTGTGGAAGCACAGCATGTTGTGGTTATCTAAAATGTTTGGGAGAAAACGTGACATTCAATTGTCTGGTGTTCACTTTTCCGTGATTCTCATGTGGCCAATGCCATGACTGAGCTAGTTCTTGGCTCTGAGGAATGCAGCACCGCATCCATCATAGGACACAAGTGTTGGAATAACCAGAGTCTCATATGGGTAAAGTTGGGTTAGGTCAAATCAGGTTGTACTATCAAACCCCTTTGAGTTGAAATTCAAGGGATCAGCAAAAAAGTTTGAGGCACGGAGGATTTGAGTTGCAAAACATGAAACATGAATTTTTTTCTGTAACGGAGCAGAAAAATTGCGGAAAAATTCAATTGGTGATTTTTTGGGGTCTTGAATTGCCTTTTAAATTAATTGGACGCAAGGGTTCATTTGCTTCATTAGTCTTCCACTTCCTTTGAAAAACACGAATTTACATTTTGATTGAAGTTTCCTCTCCTGCGTCAATAAAGTAATAACCAGAGGCCTCCATAAAATTCGACTTATGGAGGTTTAAGGAAAAAATCCTACTGATTTTTAGACGTTTTTAATGCGTTCTTACTGAGAGAATTTCAGACAAGAACGTGAAAGAAATTGTCACGGGGAGGTCCGTATTTGACTCATCAATGTTCAGCTGTACTGTACCTGTTCTGCATTTAAATCTTTAAGTCCGCGTATAATGCCAAATCAGGATGTGCGGAGTTATCCCGTGGCGCTTGTTTCCTCTTTTTGGTTCTTTGTGGTTCCACTTTCTTGAGAGAAATAGGGATTTCAATGGCACTGAACTCATCCTACACTCAGTTGTCGTGTGCCATCATCATCATCATCTCCTCTTAGACCTGGGGGTTGTGGGGGAGTTCTGGTCTTTGAGCAATGCAAACGGGATCCTGGGAACATTCCCACGCGATCGAAATTTCGCGTCATATCCCCCCCCCCCTCTCGGAAGCATCGTCGCCGTCGTTGTAAGATTTATCGAGTCCGTCGCGGAGAATCTCGTTGGCGATTTTCTTTCCGTTACGGGGGTCTTGATGGCCGGCTTTTTTGGCGCTCTGTGAGGCTGTCCTCTCTTTTTCCTGTAAGGGGGAGGCGGTGAGTTGAACAGCATTCGTGGAATTCCCGGCTGAAGCGGACTCTTGAAGCGTCATTCCTGCGACATTGGGACAGAGATGAGTAATTAAATTACCGGACTGGTCGGTTGGTCAGGTTATTGAACCGCGACGGGCCGGGTTGGGACTTGAGATTCTTGTCGCGGCGGCCCTTAGACTAGCAGCTCGTGGGAGACTTTTTTTTTTCTTTTTCTTTTGCCCCTCAGTTGTCAATTAAACCCCCCCCCCCCCATTCCCCCTTTTACACGTCCCGAAAAATCAGTGGATGCCACTGACTAAAACCACGCAAGCGTCTTCTTTTATAAGAAATTGATCACTCGGATTAACCTCTAAACTGGTTCTGGATGAGATTGTATCGTCATGGGAATAATTTTCTCGGTGAAGGAATATTAATTTATGGCTGTGGTTTATCAATGAACTTACCTTCGCTATTTATGGAGTGATGAGAGACGACGACGACGACTAAAATTTAGAAAGATTACAGTAACTGCCGACTTCGAGTCCATGCAGACGGAAAGATAGAATGCTCTGAATATATTAACTGCTTTTTTGTTTTTTGAAATTGTTACTTATTTGCTTATCAATTTGTTACAGTGACTATCCGGGTTTGTTCGTGCCGAATTTCAAAACCACACATAAATTTGAAGAAGAAGAAAAAGCAACTCATTTACAATTAAGAAGAAACATAAGATAGAGTTATCGTCTTTGTTGCTTTGTTTTCACCTGATGTGAGGTCCAATGATTTAATTGATGAAGGAGTGAATGGCGGCTTCCAAACTCAATGATGAAATTGCGTGGTTGGCCGGTTGGTTGGCAAAATCCCGTCTTCGGAGGGACAACGTTTAAATCTGATTCTCTCCTGTCCTGTCCTGTGTGTGTATGTGACTTTGAGAGGGTGAAGGAGGAAGAGGGCAGTTATTACGCATTGCTGCGAGGGGGTCGTCCTGGGAAACAGCGGCCGAACTTGGCTCGCGTGGTGGCGTCCGTCCAGAGAAGCCAGGTGGCGGCTGTTGGACAATTTTGCCATATCGTCCGTTCATCGCCGGGCCGAAGCGAACTCTCGGATTCGAGTGGGTTCTTCCGTTCTCACGGCGGTCCTGGGAACCGATTCGAATCTTGGCGCGAAACGAGATCAATAAATTGCGGGGTCGGCCTGCCGCGTGCGTGATTCCTTGCTTCGGCCTGCTTGAGCAGACCGCAATTTTCACGCAGGGTGGGCCTGGCGACCGCAGGTACAGTAGTGGCAAGCAAGCGAGCAACTTTCGGACTAATCCTTTCTCAGGGCAGGCGAAGGAGGAGGAGGAAGTCAGTGGTTGGCTCGGGAATCGCAACAGGGGCCAGGGCTTTCCCTCGAAACTAGGGGTTCTTCTTCTTCTTCTTCTTCTTACTTTTTCTATCTTTCTTTTTCGCTCGTCTATTTCTAAAAAAATAAAATAAATCCCCAGCTTCGTAAACGTGGTATACCCGGAAAATTGGCTTTGAGCAAAAATAACGCGGTGTAGGATGTAGAGTTGAGCCCCGACATACGGACAATTAGACTTGGGGACACTTGAAAAAAAATGTCGGCCCGGCATCTGCACAACGTCTCGAGATGTGGGCACTCCTTACTTTTTCCAGAAAATGAAAGACATCATTTTGTTGATGATATTTTTTGAAGAAAGTGAGTTACAAAATGTATTTTTACGATGGTTAAAAATATTCTGTACAGATGGACTCTCTCTACAAAGATTTGGTCCACATTGATTTTCTCTGTATAACAATTATGTTTTTGGTCCCATGAGGTTTTCTCCCCGTGTTAGGTGGGTTCTCTGAAACAAAAATTCTTACAATATCGATTTTTTTCTGGCACCTTGAATTTATTTGTAGAGAGAGTCCACTTGTATCATGAATTAACTTCAAATTCATTCATTCATAATATAAAAAAAAACAGGCAAATTTCCTGCTTCTTTCTTTGAAGAGTGTTCTCCTTTAAATGTGCAATTAGGCAATAAATGTTGTACTGTGCACAAGCAGAATTATAGGGCTTTCAAAAGGCAAATTTTTTGACGATGATCGCGATTGCGAGTTTCCATGATGATTGTGATGTTTCAGCACTTCCTGGAGGCATTTGAATGCATGAGTCACGAAGAACTCGGGTGGATCTAACTTGAGGGAATATTTTCCCAACGAGAGACAAGGGCTGAGATTTAAAACACCGCGACTGTCTCTAGAGTTCTTTTGAGAAATAAATTCACTGCTGTACAGGAATTCGGATCTTCCGCGAGTTCAAAGGCGGTTAAAGGGTACAGTACACTGGCAAGACCTCGGTTGCATCAAGAACCATTGACAGGTGATTTCATCCTGCCTCGGAAAAATCACCTGATGGACGCTGAACAGTTCTGTCCATTTGTCCATCTTCCCCTGGGCTTGTTATAATTTTTTTCTCCCGACCGGTCAGAACAGCAGTGGTGCTGCGAGACTGTTTTCAGCCAGGAAATTGCCCGGGAGCGGGGGCATCTCCATGGAAAGCTTGTCATGAGTGCGGACGAAGATGAATGACGATTTCATTTCCAGCCGTGAAGGCAATAATTTTCCTTCTCTCTCGCTATCTCTTCCACCATTTCCATTACCGTGCTTGGATCACAGGTGCTGATTAAGATAGGCCAGAAGAAAAGTCACTTGTAGAGTTGTCGCCGCGGAATGGAGTGACGACTGGAGCGAAGAACTCGTGGGAAGACGAACATCTCTCTTTTTTTCCCCCTTGATCGGCCCGGTCTTGATCTAATCGATTATCAAAGCGCGAGATTCGACAATCTCGCGGGGGTATTTGCGGATGACATTAGCTGATTAATGAAACCTGGGTTTTGTCAAAATCATAGCGCCCGGGGTGCCGAATTGTTCCCAGGATACCTGGGTGTGTTTAAGGAAGCAGGGGGGGGGGGGGGTAACTCTCTTTGAGTCGCTGTCGTGAGAAAGCCAAACACTTCCGCATTGCGAGAAAAGGAAGGGCCTTCTCGGTTTCAAATTCTGTCTCTCTCTCTCTCTCTCTCTCTCTCCGTGTGTCTCATGCGGGAGTATATACCGTATAAAGTATATAAATTGTTTTCTTTTCTTTTTCTACAGGATTCACCGGAAACTATTGCCAGCAGAACATCGACGACTGCGAGGGAAATTTGTGTCAAAACGGCGCAACGTGCATCGACGGGGTCAATCTGTACACGTGTCAGTGTCCGCCGACGTGGACTGGAGATTACTGTACTGAGGTGAGTTTGTCTCGCTGAGCTTCTTAGGTTACACTATGAAGAGAAAGTGACGGAATGGTATCGAAAGCGTAAAAATGGTTCACAATGTCAAAGATAACCTAACCCGATGGTTCGAAATAAATACCATATTTTTTATAAGGAAAGTTCCTATTGTACATTACGGTAGATTTACAGTATTCGCCCAAGCACCCATTGAAATACAATTCAATATTGTAAAATTCTTGGCGGAGTCTCTTAGAATTACCGCATGTCTCGTAAGTAAGTACTGTATTTTGAGACACAAAAATTATTGAATCTCTTGGAATTTTGTAAGGCACAGTCGGACCTCTCCACGACGAATTCGAAGGGGAAAAGAAATCGGCTTGGGAGAGGTTCCGAGTTAGGGAGGTTTGTGAGACTAGGTGTGGAAATGCTTGCTGTGTACAATTTAAAAGAAGGAATTGGAGCTGCAATTTTTGGCTTTTGTATCCAAAAGGATTTCCTTGATTATTCCCCACTGCATAAAAAAATGCTAACCCCAGGAAACTGCAGTAAAAATGATTCTACAGGATACAAAACTTCAAGCCAGGATTTTATGGAACTGTTTAAGCTGTTCATTTTTTCTTTTCCGAAACCATACCGTTTTCATTTCCTGTCTTTCCTTTCCAAAAATTTCGAATTAGCGAGCTGCGCAGTTGACACGTGTTTTTCGAGCGAAAGAGAGTTCAGGATACATTTTATGGAGGGGAATTTAAACAGGGACTAGGTGAAGAGGTTTTTGTCTGTGGAAGGTTCGACTGTACTGTATTGTGCAGTATTGTACAGTATATGCAAATTCTTGCCAGTTCTTCACAGACTCGACTTCGTCATGTTGACTCTTCGAACAAGCTTCCCCCCGACCAATTTCCTTGAGCGTGTCGATTCGGTTCAGAAAGGTTGCCAACAGGATGCCGACTTGTTTTCATGCACTGTACAGTGTTCTATTTACTGTATTTAAATTTAATGGGTTTTAATTTTGCAGGACGTGGACGAGTGTGTGATGAGGCCGCAGGTTTGCCAAAACGGGGCCACTTGCAGGAACACGAGAGGCAACTACACGTGCATTTGCGTCAACGGCTGGGCCGGCAAAGACTGTGCCGTGAACGTCGACGATTGCGCCACGAATCGGTGCATGTCCGGGGCGACCTGCATCGACAGGGTCGGCTCCTTCCTGTGTCATTGCCCGCCTGGGAAAACCGGTGAGCAACCTCATGCTTCATTTCCCGCCCAATTTCCGAAATCTTTTTCCACGAAACGCGGGGTTGGGTTCGGTTGCGTTTTGTTGTGTTGTGTCTGGTCTGTTCTTTGGTTCATGTTTCTCACGGAGGTCAAGAGTACATACAATATTTAAAGGCAATTCGCGCGTCGCGTGAACGTTGAGATGTTTTCAGGAATTTTCCTGAGCGTATTTTACGTTTTGAAGACCATTCTGGATTTCATCCATTTTAATTCATTCGCGTCGAGCTGAAATCCATAAAATACGGAACTACAGTTGAATCCGTCTTTTGCTCTCAAGTCTCTGATAAATTGCAGACTTTAGTTCTGTATTGAAGTCGGAATCTATTGGATTTTGAGCTACTCCTTATTTGATTTTCTAGAAAGAAAGTTTCAAAAATAATTTAAATCATGAACCAGCATACAGTACTATAGTTGGATTGAACCTTTGCTGGTAAAATCTAGTTATTGTGCTCTAAATTGAGTAGAGTCCGTGCCGTCTACGCCGGAAGTAACTGGTACTGCGGCTGTAAATTCGGGGGAAAACAGTGGTAAGAAAGAAGCTTTTCCATCATCCATTCCGTTTGGTACATTTTCAACAAAAAGACCGCACAGATTTTATGTATGCGTGTAATGCGGTAATTCCAAATGCGAAGAGCATTGTGTAGATTTCTTTTGACGATTTTTCGCTTTCGCCGTCGTCGTTCCGCAGGAATTTATTGCCACCTCGACGACGCCTGCGCCTCGAATCCGTGTCACGCCGACGCCAACTGCGACACGTCGCCTCTGACGGGCGCCTACGAGTGCTCTTGTCCGCAGGGATTCAAAGGAATTGATTGTTCCGAAGACATCAACGAGTGCGACGAAGGTAAGCGATAAAGTTTGCTAATCGCTTTTCGTATTCTTTTGGTCGGCCCGTTTTCATAGCGAGCACGCTTCGAGTGCCGATTATACTCTGTGAAGACTGTTTACTGTACTATACTGTTCCTTTTCTGATGGATTATTATGCAGTAATGTATATATTTTTTCGTTTCGCACTTATTGCGTTCAAATCAGGGAGCTTGTTTGTTCTTACTTGATAGGCTCGCCGTGCGAACACAACGGGATCTGTGTCAACACGCCGGGATCGTTCATTTGCAACTGCACGGCGGGATTCACGGGCCCGCGTTGCGAGATCAACTTCAACGAGTGCGAGTCGAATCCGTGTCAAAACGAGGGCACCTGCTTGGATGACATGGGCTCCTACAAATGCGTCTGCATGCCAGGTCAGTTTTATTATTATTTATTTATTTTACCCATCTAGAGTACAGTATTCCCTTTCAAGTCTGCCGACTTTCTGGGATTGCGCGGCTTATCGTACAGTACAGTACAGTACAGTACTGTAATTGCAAACGTGAGGCTAGCGGAAAGTTCTGCGTCGGACTTTTATTTTTGAGTGTATGTTAATTTAGTATCATGTGCAGAGAAGAGTTATCCTAGATTATTCCTGAATTTGAAGACGCTGGACAAGCATTCAAACATTTTGAATACTCTACTGTACTTGCGGACGGAGGGATGAGCGAGAAGTTGCCGAAGTGAATTCATTGGTTATGGAGGATAGAACGGTGCTGAAGTTTTGAGACTGCAGTACTCAAATTACTGCATTTAATGGAGCATCACGCGCCTTAAAGTAAAATGACGCACACTCTCTTCTTCCTCTTTATTTTGAAAAAAAAAAGTGCGCGTGGTACTCACGTAATTGCTGTTTAATTATTGAGCAGACTTTTATTTTGATTCCATAAAATTCGTCAAATCCCTTTCATCGCCTCCCCACTCTTTGAAATGGATGTGATGCAGTTTCTGCCGAAATGGAAGTGTGTTTTCCGTGTGATGAATCCAACATTTTAACGCTCCTGCTGATTAATGGTCTCTAGTATTAAACGAGGTTAGATGCACTACAAGCTCTTTGACTTCGTCTCTCGGTGAGGTTCCGTGGGCAAAGTTTTTTTCAAAGTCAAAAACGTATTGAGCGAAAAAGGTTCCGGCGGATTCAAGGCCCGAGTCTCTAAACTTATGTAGCGTCAAGTGCCTTGTTGTGAGAAACAGTCGAATGTCGTGTGCGAAAAAGTCAACAGATTTTGATTCGAATGCGATGGAAGTTGAAGTACAGTATATATTCGATCAAGTGATCGGTGCTGCAATTTGTGTTTGATGAATAAAACTCCTGCCCGTATTTTCGCGCCGGGTTTAAAAAAAAATGTTTGGGTAGAGATTTCGTGATCGAACCTCTTCTTCGATGGAGTGGAATCGGCCGTGGCTTGGAGAAAGGCTTGAGGAAATAGAAGAAAGAAAGTTGGCAGAATTCGGTTGCAGTTCAGTCCAGCTTTTATGAGCTTTCTCCAGGGACTCGATGCGTGTGCAGGTTAAAGATTCTGTACTGGGTCTTCTTCGTGGAAAATCGTGCTTCGAATGAACAATGGGGCTCTGGTCGGAATTCGCAAAGGTTTTCGACCAGTTTGTCTGCATTGTTCTTGTGACGGGTTCTGCAGTGGGTAATCATTGATCAAGCGAAGCCTTTTTTCGGCGTGGCTTCTTCGCCAAATCCGGGACGAGTGCGCTTTTGTTCTTCGGCGCGGGTTTTATGCGTCGGCGCATTTCTGCACCTGATTACCGAGGCTTGTTTGTGGGGTGGAGGAAAAGAATTCCTTCGGGGCGATGAGATGTGTTGTGTTCTGTTTTCTGTTCTGATCGCACAGCTGCGCCTGCGGCTGAGGTTCTTCTTGCTTATGCAGTACTGTATTGTATATATTTTTTCCTCCTCTTCTCTCTCTCTCTCTTGCACCTTCTTCGACGAAGGAAGGATTCGTTTCCTGCGGGCTCGCAGATGAGCGATCAGGGGCCTCTCTTCGGTCGTCCGCCAGTACTCTGGCCAGATTTGCTTATGGTAATGAATCCGCCTGTTTTTATTGCGTGCCGAAGGGCAGAATCGGAAAGAAGTCCCAATTTACGACCGACGTTTCCAGTGTTCCACTTCCCCGTGTCCCGCTTCTTCGGAGACTCGTCTTCGTTTTCTCCCTCCGTACCGCGATCATCACGTTCGGATCCCGCTTCTTTTTCTCTTTCTTCGTCTTCATGTTTAAATAATCAGCCACGTCGCTTCGTGATACTGAATCGCATTTACGAAAGCCTCGTAATGGCGGGACTTTTCCCTCTTGCGACGTCCACGAAGAGAATGCAGAAAAAAATGAAGATGAAGGATAAAAACGGTTAATTCGCGACGAATGTTCCTTTCACTGTTGGGAGTACAGTGCAGTGCAGTATTTTGATCAGCGCGGTCGTCGTTTGAATGAGGTCAACAGTGTTGTAGAATTTTCTTGAGAGCTGTTTGGAATTTTGCTTGATTGGTTATCATACGATCGGTGTGAAGTTCAGTCGAGTTTTAATCTAACTTGTGAGCAAGTCTGAAATGAAAAACGGGGAATTTGGGTTGCAAAAAAAAAAGGGTCTAGAACCACGAACCACCATTTGTATAAAAATTCAAAATTTTACCCTTGTCTGTCAGCTTGGCCCTCAGACTCAAAATTTTTATCTCAACTTTCATTCCAGCCTCAGCAGGTTCTGTTTGGAATTTTAAAAACATGATTTTTGTCAAAACAGTTCATCGAAGATTTAAAGAAGTGGAACAGCTGTCTAGAACAAAAGCAAAAAAACATTTCTACCGAGTTTAAAGAGATAGAGAGAGAGCAGTACAGTATCTCGTTTGAAGAGTTGATAGCTTGCCTGCATCGTGAATCCCCTGAAGCAACGCCTTCCGCAAAGCTTCGTTGGTTGCACTGTACTGTACTGTACTGTACTCCATACTCATGCATTATCTGGGCCCCCTGGGGTAAAAAGAGAGGATTCTTTCTTCCCCAGAAGAACTGAGCGACGGATGGAAGGAGATGAGCTCGGTGGGGATAATGACGGCCGGGAAATCTGGGCTGGACACCGGGGAATTGGGGGCGACCCTTGAAGAGAAACATAATTGCGAGGTTTTTTTCCGAACGCCACAGGGGGCGCCTCTTCCTATATCTCTCTCTCTTTCTCTTGCCGTCGCTACATTTCTCAAGTGTATCTTTGCATGATGTTCCAAACGCAGTCCTGTCCTCTCCATCGGCCGCTTTATTTTTTTGTTTCGGAGAGCCAGCCGCATTTTACGTCTTGAAAATTTGTAGAGTGGAAGCAAAACTGCATGTGTACCTTATGTGTACGTACCTGAATTTTGCTGACTCACTCGATGCTTCGCTGCAACGATATGCGTTCCTCAAGTTTCTCTGGAAAACTAACGTTTTGGCGTTTTGCGTTGTGAAGCAAATGTCCAAGTCCGTATGCTCGGGTCAATTTTATGGAATGGAAAAATATATCAGAATCCCTTACGTTTTTATTTCCTTTTTTGAAAGTGAAGCATTTTTTCAATCCCGAGTCTTGAAGGAACAGTCGAAATTATTTTTATTCAAAATCGTACCAAACGTCAACCAACCGAGTTTGAAATCCGCTGTGGACATCCCATTAATGAGCGAGAGCGCATCATTTTTTTCTACAGAGCAACCAAATTGGTCATCAAATGAATATTTATGAGGAGAAAAGCAACAAGACTAGGCTGTGGAAACTGAGTTGTCCATGTACCATGAGACGAGGATGTTTAGGCCAGGTTTACGCAGTAACGTTGGGCTGCGATTGAGAGAATTCTAAGCTTACATTTGAACACTTGGCAAAGAAAGTTACCTCAAAGTTGTATACTTTTTTGAAATAATTGCATTGTTATTGTAATGGAAACTCTGATTAGTTGCCAGCCGGCAATGGCATTGGGAAAGTTGAGGGCATCTTGCCTGGAGCGAGCGATATGGGGATGATTTCAGGGTCCCTCTCAGTCCACGTGTGCAATTTTCTTCTCATCCTCACTGGAGAAATGCGTGAAACACAACGAGCCTGTTTTTTTTTTTAATTTTCTGTCGGCCACTCGGATCCTGATGCAGAATTGATGCGTGTGTGAGCAGGAGCTGTAGTCTCTGGCGCATTGTTCGGAACAAAGGGGGTGGGGGGGGGCACGACGACGACGACTAGGAAAAGGCAATCTCGGGTGCGAAGGACACTTATAAGCGAGAAGCGAAAACAGAAGGAATGATTCGAGAGGCATGGATTACCGGCTGCTCTCAGCAGAGATGAAAGGAAATCAAGAAAGAAATGGAGAGAAAGAACGAAAGAAACGGACACCTAAGGAACCTGTTGAGAGTGAGACAGGTGTGGATCCTTGGGGTTTGTTGCCCCTTGCGAGAAGCAGGAACAAGTGAGCGGAAAGGGAGGAAATTTCCTTGCGGGCACACACACACACATGTACAAGAAATGTAGTTGCAGAAAAAGGCTGTGTGTGTGTGTGTGTGCGTGGTGAAGGAGGAAGAGGAGGGGGGAGAGAAGAAGGCAGGCTTACGTTCCAGCTCGTGGACTGCATGGGAAAGTTCCCACAGTTCGGAGGCCCCTGCAGTTGCTGAGTCGTCAGGGGGATCCCCCTCCACTCCACTCCACGCCCACGTCAACCTCTGAATCTCAATGCCTATGTATGCGTGTGTCTTCTTCTCCTCCTCTTCCTCTTTCTTCTACTTGTCTATCTTGCTCATTTACTATTTCCCCCTTCCTTGGATTGTGTTTCTTTTAGAGAGGGAGGCGAGCTTCGTTTTGTTTTCGCGGGTTCTCGCAGGCGCGCGCGCGCCTTGACTAATCGCGCGAGATTTTCCTGGACCCTGCGCACGAACCCGGTAAACCTATTGGACGTATCTTTACCACGGCTTTCTTCGCACGTTCTGGCTTCGTCACGGAATCTGTTTTGCTTGCCGACGGGTTGTTTTCTTTTCCTTCTTTCTCTCTCTCTCTTCTTATGTTCACTGTACTGTAGCTTTTCATTTTGATAGTCGATCTCCCGCCTCCGCGCTCCTCCTCCGTGCTTCTTCTCTTCTCCGCCGAAAGAATCAATTTCCGACGCGTTATTTCGATCTCGCTTTTGTATTTTTATTTGCACTGGCGATCTTGACGTGATTTCCGTCATCTGACTCGATGGCCGGACGTGCTTTGAACGGGCCACGTGTGCCTGTCTCTTCCAACCACCGAAGATTGAATTTGAGCTCAATTAGGATTTGTTGGCCGTTTTAGTGTTCCGCTTGTGGATAATTCTCTCACGGAATGATCCACGCGTGAAGAATGAAGGAGCTTGCATCAGAGTGTGCGCTTCTGCGCTCTTGAAAAAATGTTATAA